TAATGTTTTGAAGAAGCACTGCCTTTCTCCTTAGTGGCTACACTGTGACATTTCCACCAACAGTCTGGTCAATCTACATCCTCATCAATATTCATTTTCATTTTGTTTTTAATCTTGGTCAGCACTTGTATGAACAGGTGATCAGCATCACAGTACTCCTGGAAATGCAAATCAACAAGATAATCCCTCACACCAATTAAGATGGCTCATGTCTATCTTTTTAGGCTGTGGAATCACAGACATGGAATCTTTTAAAATATTTACCCCCAGAAACCTAACTTAGTGCTCATAGTTAAATGATTGTTCTAGAAATATTACACTCAATTTGCCAAATTTTGATATCAAAAGAGTGATAATCGGGCCTGGCGTGATAGCATAGCTGCTAAAGCCCTCACCTTGAACAAGTACCAGGATCGCATACAGGCACTGGTTCTAATCCTGGCAGCTTCACTTCCCATTCAGCTCCCTGCTTGTGGCCTGGCAAAGCAGTTGAGGATGGCCCAAAGCCTTGAGATCCCGCACCCACATGGGAGACCTGGAGGAAGCTCCTGGCTCCTGGCTTCAGATTGGTGCAGCACCGACCATGGTGGTTGCTTGGGAAGTGAGTCATCAGACAGAAGATCTTCCTCTCTGTCTCTCCTCCTCTCTGTACATCTACCTTCCCAATAAAATAAATAAAAACTCGGGCCCGGCGCGGTGGCGCAAGTGGTTAAAGGTCCTCGCCTTGCACGCCCGGGATCCCATATGGGCGCCGGTTCTAATCCTGGCAGCCCCGCTTCCCTTCCAGCTCCCTGCCTGTGGCCTGGGAAAGCAGTCGAGGACGGCCCAAAGCTTTGGGACCCTGCACCCGCGTGGGAGACCCGGAAGAGGCTCCTGGCTTCGGATCGGCATAGCATCGGCCGTTGCACTCACTTGGGGAGTGAATCATCGGACGGAAGATCTTCCTCTCTGTCTCTCCTCTCTGTATATCCACCTTTCCAATGAAAAAAATAAATAAATAAATCTTTTAAAAAAAATAAATAAAAACTTAAAAAAATTCTAAAAAAAAAGAGTGATAATGATAATAGGACATGAAACAAAATTAAACTAGGTTTTAATTTTCCTTATTACTTGATCACAGAGAATATTCTAACTTTAATTATATATTTGCTTTCATTTAAGTAGCACAGGCATAAATCACAAGTGTCTAAGAAGTAAATGTGCTTCCTAGAATAAATATTACTCAGGACAAGACACGCAGGTACACCAACAGCGCGCCGCTCATCGCAGGCGCAGGAACTGCGCGTGCTTATGCACGGTACGGATACAGACGGCAACTGGATGCGTTTAATTCCTAGTAATTACAGCAGACATTCCATTGATTACAACTGTCATGCTTGGTTATGCACAGACACACATACACGGGGGGCAGGGAGAGAGAGAGAGAGAGAGAGAGGAGCAGGGAGGGAATTTTCCTATTAAGTGGGAAAGTTTAAAATGTTCTGATTCAGATTTCCTCAGAGCCATATAAAAAAAGGAGTTTTATCACAATATTTAACATTTGCTGCCCCCACCCCAGTACTCAATGACGAACATTCAAATGGAGCTACAGCAGAGCAAGGGTGAGCCAATTTAGATGATGCTGTAGTTGATCCAGAAGTGAAACTGTCCGAAAGAGACGTCTGGAGTGCACAGGCGCTTGAAGCAGTGAAAGCCAAAGTCCTGGGACTCCGCTGAGACTGCGTGTCCAGTGCCTCTTTTGAAATGGAAATGAGATGCTAGGTGAAGAGGGACTCGGACAGATACGCTGGAACTCCAGTTTCTTGGATTTCCACTTTCTCCCCTCTCCCCTCTCTGCTCTCACAGGTGGAAGCCTGAAGGCTCTTCCTGCCCACCTCTGATCTTTCTCGCCATGGTCCTTCGCAGGAAATAACCCCCAAGCACTTCTAACTCAGTCTGATTTCCAGAAAACATAGCTCATACAAGGCCTCAACTCCTGGTCATGGGAAGTGACCCTTACTCCTGTTGGAGATGTTTATATTTATTTTCAGATATGTTCATAAATGTAAGTGCTATGACTTCTACTTTCAAACATGGCTGATTTCTCCCTTTCTTCTCAGAATCACATCATATCTTTGTCAGAAAAAAAGATAGGATAATACATTTTTAAGCGCACAGGGCTGTCAGGATGCTTGCCTCACCCCGAGCCCCCGCCTCAGCGAGACGTTTCAACTCAGGAACACTTCTTGAGAACACACTGAATGTATAGCCAGGCCACCAGGGCATGGGGCTGTCCGTCATTTCCAGCAGCCTCGGGGTGACTCGGGTTTGTTCTGGATGTGAGCCTGCAGCTCTCTGTGGGTCCCTGTGTTCAGTAAGCTGGTGCTGAAGCCAGGGAGAGTGAGCCGGGATGACACAGTCTCTAACTCCAACAGTCTGCCCCTTCATGGGCCGGGTCAGGCCGGGTCTTCCTGTCCTGTGCAATCCTGTGCACATGAAAATTCCTTCTTCCACATGTGTTACATTCCAAGATGAGTCTCCTTCCTCCACTGGGATGTATCACTTCACACTGACCTCTTGAAGGAGGCACACCTGAGTGGGGGAGGATGCACGCCCAGAACTCTGCCCAGACAGCTCCTTGTCAGCTGCTTTAGAACACAAGTCATGCTGCTATCATGTTGCTGCTCTATTCTCTGGCTTTATAATTCCTTTTAATATCTGCATTAAAGTACAATCATATAAATACCTCATTTATTTTACAGTGTTGGTAGTTGTCTATTAATTTAAACAAACATTTTTCAAACCTATCTCACTCTAACAATTGTATTCACTTATTTTAAAGTGTGTAAGTCAATTTATTTTTATTGGAAAGGCAGATATACAGAGAGGAAGATCTTCTGTCTGTTGATTCACCCCCAAGCGGCTGAGCGGCTGTAACAGCTGGAGCTGAGCCAATCTGAAGCCCAGGAGCCAGGAGCTTCTTCCAGGTTTCCCACGTAGTTGCAGGGTCCCAAGGCTTTGGGCCGTCCTCAACTGCTTTCCCCGGCCACAAGCAGGGAGCTGGATGGAAGTGGGGCTGCCGGGATTAGAACCAGCATCTGTATGGGATCCCAGTGCGTTCAAGGCGAGGACTTTAGCTGCTAGGCTACCACACTGGGCTCATAAGTCAATAATTTTTGAGATTTATTTTTCTTGGGAAGTCAGATTCACAGAGGGAAGGAGAGCAGAAAGAAAGACCTTCCATTTCCTGGTTTACTCCCCCAATTGGCCACAATGGCTGGAGCTGAGCCAATCCAGAGCCAGAAGCCAGGAGCTTCTTCCTGATCTCCCATGTGGGTGCAGGGTGTTAGGCTTTGGGCATCCTCGACTGCTTTCCCAGGTCACAAGCAGGGAGCTGGATGGGAAGTGGAGCTGCCAGTGCACAAATTGGTGCCCATATGGGATCCTGGTGCATACAAATTTAGGAGTTTAGCCACTAGGCTACCACGCTGGGCTTGGTAAATCAGTATTTTAACGTTATCTCTTTTTTCTTTTTTTTCCTGATGCCAAACATTTGTTCGCCTTCAGCCTTCAGAAGGATTCTCTTCTGCTCAGAGAATTCATGAACTCAGATGTTGTAGTCTGTTTTGCCAGCCTGTGTATGAAGTCTGTTCCAAGGAGGACACCTGTAAAAGACACAGCAGCTGCGCGAAACCAGTTCTTGTGGAACCAGCTGGTGGTTTTCATCCTCAGTGTCAAGGTCAGATTCCAAACCGCTTCTTTGTGAAGATGGCAAGTCTGCTGTTCCCCTTGGACTGGGCTCTTCCGTGGACTTGCGAACGCCGGACTGTCCGGCTCATCAATGTTGTCCTTATTAGCTCCTTGTAAAACAGGGCCACTTTTGATTCTGTGCCAGCCCGAATAGAGGAGCCCGACTGACGGTATCTAGCAGCCGAAACTTTGTAGTCTCTCCAGAAGTTTTGAAAACTAGTCCTCCAGCGTCAGTGCACCTGCCCACCAGCCTCGCTACGCCAGCGCCGCCAGCAGGCGCAGGGGCTGATCCTCATAGCACGGTGCAGATCCGCACAGCACGCACCCTGTCTTTCTTGTTTAAATGTAGCTCTTTGAGGGGATTCTAAAAACCACGCGGGGCAGGAGATGCAGCGAAAATGTGATTGTATGAAGCCAGGAAAGAGAGGTTTCAGTTTGGATTTTCTTATGCTGAGAAAGATCTGTAACTTCTTTGAGGGATAAAACGAGGCCTTGTTCCCCTGAGGAGAAACAACACATGATAAGTGCAATGGAGAAGGTCCCGCACCAACCCGAGGACAGTTCTCTTTAAAGTCTGTAATTGGAATTGTCAAAAAAAATTACTTGTCGTCAAACTCAAGCTTGCCTACAAGCTGGAGGAGTTTATGGCTCTCCCCGTTCCTTCCTGGGAAGCCGCTAACTCCATCTGGTGCGGTTCCCCTGAGTGGAGTTAGCTGGAGACAGGTCTTGCGGCCCTCCTACGCAGGTATCTCTAATTTCTGACTTTGAGGTGATAATCAAAAGCGCTCTTGTTTTCCATACCTTCTTTCTTCTAGATAATCACAGTTTCCAATATTACAAATAAAACAAGGCTCATATATCCCGTATCTTTGGCGTAAGGCACCGCCCACACAGTTTAAGTGGACAGTCCACACCATTCGGAACAAAGGCAGCTGGGTCCAGTAAAGAGCGGAGGTTTGGGAGTCTCACGTGGCCTTGTCATGTGATCGCTGCAGCACTTAAGCACCTGCTTCTTGGAACCTTCTTTGCTCATCTGCAGCATGAGTCTAATGACCATGCTTATAGTCTGTTTAGAAAACACCAGGTTTTTGCTTTTGCATCTTATCAACACTTCCTCTGTGGCTTAAGCTCTCAAAGCCATGATTGATTTTCTGATTTCTATTATAGATGCTCTTCTTCTCTACAAAGTCTAAAAGTTGTCACTTGAAGATACAGGAAGCAATCCTTTGAAGAAATGGGGCCCACCACACAGAGGATACGGCAAGGACGGGCTACCAAGGTGAGAAGTGCCTGCTGAGGGGGAGGGGCCGGGTCAGGCAGCACTGTTCCTTGTGCACTCCAGTTTTATCTTTCCCATCAATTAGTATGATAGGAAAAGATTTGTAGTACTGGATGATGTCTTCCACGGAATCAAATCTCTGAAACAGAAGATTCACAGTTTTGTAAATATCTCCTTTGTAGGTTAAACAGGTGAACTCATCAACAATTTTTGTATTTAAAAACATGACTATCTTGAACAACAACAACAACAAAGATATAGTAAGCAGGGTTATGCAAATAAGTGGTAAGAAACATGACAATGGAGTGAGACAGCTGAGAGAGGTCAAAGGTGAACTCTGGAAGCTGTAGGATTCCTGCCAGCCCAGAGTTCTTGGGTTGGTTGTTCTGGTCAAGCCCCACTCTCGTCCCAAGGACTCCGATGCATTCATTATACACTAAACAGACTCGTGGACCATGCAGAGGCTCCAAGCTTGAGCTGAGTAAATTGGTGGGAGTCATCTGCCACAAGGCTTCCTCCTGCTGCTCTAATGAATTCTGAGCACAGAGGGACAGGGGCAGCCACAGAGCTCCTGATGAGGTTAACCCTTTTTACCTTTCCCCCCTGGGCTCCCTGTGAAAGCTCAAGGCTGGCTGTGGATCCCACTGTTTCTAGGGTTACTCGGAGAATGTGCTGTAGAGATGGGAAGGCTCGTGAGCCTACTTTAGCTGGGGGACTCAGCAAGTGCTCCGCCAAGGGTATAAACCTGTGGTAGGTTTTAGCTTATAGGTGATTCAAGATTAATGGAAAAGGTGGGTTTGGAGGATGTTCAGAGCATGCCCAGTGTTAGGAAGGCTGAGCGCAACAGGAGGGCTGGTTTCGTGATGCTGGAGGAGAGGTTTGGGAGATAATTAGGAAGAACTTGTTCAACCTGCCTCTCGGTACTTAAGGCAACCCCTCCCCGGCAAGTCTGTGCAGGGAACAGGGCTGGTAGTCATCTCTGAAGGGCTAGGGGGAGGCTGGACTCGCTCAGGGTCATGCGATGGGGGCCAGTAGAGCCTCGTTCTAGATGATTGTCTCTTTTGTCTGTTACATGGCTGTGTCCGAGACTGATGACTTCTGATACCCCAAGAACGGAGGGGTCACAGCCTGGGGAGGGGAGTCACGGAGGGGTCACTTTGATTCCTGTTTGGGTTTGTCTCCTCTTCTCTCTTCCAGCATATTCTGGGTGCAGAAAAGTTGGCAAGTCTCAGATATATAGGGAACTTCAGAAAGATAGTGGAAAAATGAAATTCAAGATAAGTTTATGTTCGTGCAAATCACTATAGTCCATGCATGTACCACAGTGTACACTTTTCATGAATTTTAAAAGTATTCTATGCATTGATTTAAAAAATTTGCACTGAAATATACTCCTCTTATTTCATTGTTCATAAACTTTTGGAATTTTCTTTGTTTCCAATGGGGGATGCTGTTGCCAAGGTTTCTGTCCACATGCAGATTATTTATTATATTGTGGGGATTATAGCGCATACTGTTTGATACTAACAGCTGCTTCCACTTGGGATATGTGTTGAGAGCTCGAGGACCTCAGAAGACCTCTCAGGAGACTTCCCTTGGGGCCTGCATGTGCTGCTAGGTGGCACTGTCCCCTTTGCTTTGTGGGAGCACCAGGCTGAAGTGCTGCGTGGAGGATGTGAAGCACATGCGCCATACTGGGGCACAAGCCTGGGGAAGGCAGAGTAGGGGGCTCAGGTACCCCGTGCCCCTCCATCCCCAGCCTTCCGCTCCCATGCCTCAAGATATCGCCCCCTCCTTCCAGCCTGGCTGCTGCTTGTCTCTGACCACATCTGTAAGGGACTTGTCCTGGACCTGCGCCTAGGTCTGTGGCAGAGATTTCTATGAGCTGACCTGTGCAGAATGCCCCAGTCCTCTCATGTGGCTAGAACATAATGAACTTGACTGATTATAAACTGCAGAAATCCTTCGGGTGTGGAGGCTGGGAAGGCCAGGATGAATGCGAGTTTGGTGTCTGGATTACGCATTCTGGAGGGCTGGTGACTTCTCATCTTCCTCAGGGCGTGAGGCCTGAGGTCTCTTTATAAGGGTCCCGCTCGCAGTCATGAGGGCTCCATGGTCACAGTGTCATCACTTACCAGTACCATCACCTTGGAGGTATTGATACATAAATCTGTTTTGTTTTCTGGTGAGGGATAAACCTGCAGGCCACAACATCACTTCTCTTATGTACAGGATATATCCAAGTTTTGATTCCTACAGAGGCAAGATGGTTTCCCAGTTGTCCAGCAGGGGGAGAAGTTGTCCTACTGCAATGGGATCAGCTGAGGTGGAGGACCTAAATAAATCCCTGAGTTCAAAGCCTTGCCGTGTTACCTTGTCACTGTGTGACCTGGGGCGGTTTTCTGACATTGTGTCTCAGGGTGGTGATGTTAAATCCTGCCTCTGAGTCTGCTGCGAGGATTAACTGAGCCTGCTCGCATGGCCTTTGGAAGGAAGCCGGGCACATGGTGACTTCTAGGGAGATGTCAGGCATCACGGTTCCCTCCTGCCTGTGGCGCTGCCAGAGCATCAGCAGACAGCAATGAAGTCACAGCAGGTGCTCGTGGGCTTCATCCCAAGTCTTCAGGAAGAAGGGAAGTTCTTGTCTTTCATCTCCAATGGTGAACTAAGGACTGAGTTTTCTTCCTCTGTCTTCGCATTGAACAAGACCAAAAAGGAGTGATGAAAATAAACTTTCCGTGCAGAACTTGTCCACAAACTGGAAATCTTTTCTGATATCAATAGTCAGAGGGAAAATGCTTTGTATCCTCATTCCTGGTTTCTTTAGCATTGTTCCCAAATAATGAATTCAATATGAATTGTTTTAATAATCTGCATGGATGACATTTTATATGAAGTTATAATTTTAACAGGTGTTAGGAAGCAAGGCAGGAACAATTAATCATATTGTCATTTCTTACTGTGGGCTTATGTAAATCTGATGGGTCCACATCTGAAATAATGCCCTAAAGAGACTTTAAAAAACATGATAATTAGGCTTTTACTTTTATGTTAAATTACATTTGTTTTCCCAGGGAGACAGCAAATGTCATGCTATTAGATCTTGAAAATCTGTGGAAGCCTTTTGTTTACTCTGGTGTAAGCTGTGGTCAATGTGTCCTTGCCAGAAAAGGCAAGAAATGTGGGTGCTCACTGGGAGTGAAAGAAGGAAAGAGGCGAGAGAGAGAGAGAGAGAAGGAAGGAAGGGAGAAAGATACCCTGGTGCACTGTTTGTCTCCTAGTCTTTGAAATCTATTCAGTACATCTATACTATACTTTTCAGACACTTTTCTTAAACATCTGCAGAGCAAAAAAAGGCCTGCTAGTTGAAATGGCTCTGTGCTCTCCCTTCTTGAGCTTTGGAAGACGTTGAAGCAGGGTTGATGTTTGATGCAGGCAAGGCCGTGGATCTGAAGGTCGTTTATGTCAGGTGTTTCCCAGGCCAGCTAGGGCTGGCGTTCCACCAATCGGCCTATGGCTCAGCTGCATCTCTGGATCTGCCCAGTGTTCCCAGAGAGGACGTGGAGTTTCATGTGGTGCAGACACCAGCTGTTGGGAAATGGAGCCCCGGGTCGGTCACTGGCTTCGGAAGCTGCAGGAGGAGACGTTTCAGACTATGATGGAATGCAGAGTGCAGCCTCCGTGGTGTGTGGTCCAGGGAGAGCAGCTGCAGGAAACCAGCTGGGGGTAATCCCCAAATCTGAGGAAGCCAGACAAGGATGGCCAGCTCCCCTCTTCTGCTGACCCAGCGTCGAACACGCAGCACACAGAGGTGCTGTGCAGCTGTGTGCTCCACAGGCGTGCCTGGGTTTGCTCACCCCCTATGCAGGGAGGGGTGCAGAGGCGGGGGGTTCCCTTGTACTCCTCCGAGTGTGGCAGTGAGCACTGCGTGGGGCACACAGCCCTCACTAAAGGGCCTCGGAGTCCTGTAAGATAGATGGGAGGGGAAGTTCCCGAGCTCCTGTGACTGTGTGTGTGTGTGTGTGTGAGAGAGAGAGAGAGACTGTATTTACATAACCTCACTGTGAACTCAAAAATACTCATGAGTTAGGTGTTGCTACCTTATTGGTACACTTGAATTCTCAAGTTTTCAAGTCAACTGGAAAATAAAACAGACATGAAATAAAAATTATGCTTAGGAACCTCAATTATCATTTTCCTTATCAAATGGATGAAGAAGATGCTATTTCTTTATTTGAACAACTAAAGTTGCTGGTGACTGGCATGTGTTTAGAGGAGCCTGGCCGTATCAGTTTTATATGTGTGTAGTTTTAAGATGCGGCATTCAGCCCAGCAAAGCAGAGCGCTCAGGCTGTGGGAGGCGTGAAGAACAGAGCGCGGTCCACAAGTGACCCTCCCACAGGGCAGAGCGGAAGGAATCACCTGCGAACTGTGACTATTCACCCAGTCACTGGTGCATGGTGTGCTGTATGTGTTAACTGCCAGTGCTCCAGGCCCGTTGCAAACAGGTGTGGCATGGTTGGCATTTGGTTATGACATTATCTGAAGATGTATGGCAGAATCAGTCTTTTTGCGATATGTATAGAATTCCAGTGTTGCTATTTACCGCTGTGACCTGGGCCCAGCCATTCGCGTTTGCCTCGCGGACTGTTGAGCTGGGGTTGCTCACAGCACCTCCCTCACAGCGCAGCATGGGGATGAGATTCAGTAGATCAAGTCAGTTGATAATTGCTACCTGCACACACCAAACATTGCTAAGTATTCAAAATATGCTAAAGGAGACTTGTTTGGGAGCGGCAAGGGAGGAAAATGTTCTCAAAACAAAAAGGAGATTTCTTAAAATAGGCATTTGGACCCCCAAGGCAGATGCTCAGTGACAGTAATTAGAGCGGCTCATCTGAACCGCCTAGGTGACAACGCCTTACAGGCGGGCACAGCCAGTGAGCAGCTGACCTCCTGAGCACATGTTGTCAGGCTCTTAGTAGAGAATCACTCTGCTTTCTCTGTTATTAGCAGGCCAAAGTGGGGCTGGCAAGAAAAGCTGTAATCTTGTTATATATAGGTCTGCTCTGGTTTGAATGCAGTGAAATTTAATGCACTCATGTTAGGATTTCATCTCCATTCTGAGACATTAAGTGGTGGGACCAGGTGGGATCTGTGAGAAGTGACTAGGGGTCTGTTAATCTGTTCACGCCCTGAATAGAGGGTGCCTGCATTACCTTGGGAGGGGTCTGTTGGAAGCTGGCTGGGCAAGGTCTTTCCCTGTGTGACCCTCTGTGCTGCCGCAGGGCTCAGCCAGCAGGATGCCAGACCTTGACCTTGGACCAGAACTGTGAACCCCAGTAGACCTCTTTATAAAAACAGATCTGTGGTGTTTGGCTGTTAGCAATAGCAGAGACTGAGACAGAATGTCAGTTTCCTTCAGTGGTAAAGGGGCCTTTTGCAGGGGCAAAATGAAAGAGCAAACGAAACAGCCTCTGACAGAAGACCCAGCCCGTGCCACGGTGCAAGGGCCACTGAAAGGAACCCTTCAACTTGGGCGTTTAAAAATCATGTATGGCTTTTCTTGGCAATGAGAACTTCTGTGAGGTGGAAATTGGGCAATAGGGAAGGTTTAAAGGATTTTTTCTTCTGGATAAGTGTGTATTTGAGTGAAATTACATTCTAGCTGTCCAAATAATAACAATGTAATAATGAACATTGGACATCTATCTCTCTAGCTCTGACATAATCCTTATTGTGGCTGCATTTGCAACAGTGTTATTCTATTTACTCTCCATGCACCTGTTCATGTAAACCAACCCAGTACTGATCCTCTCCAAGCGATGCATGATTAGAGCTGAGATCTTTACTAAGCTCACTGGCAGGACTTTCACAGGTATGAAAGGATTTTAGTCACCTGAAGCATTCTGGTAGCCCTGGCACTATGCCAGTATGTGGAAGTTCTGGGTTTATACTGATGTTGGTAGGGAAGCAGCTAGAGAGTGGAGCTAAGGTGGCCGACACCTCCGTGCAGCCTGTGCTGGAGCCTCTTGTGCCCTACCCAGGCCTGGCCTTTCCCAAACACCACCCTTCTGTGCATGGAAGAACAGCAGCTTCTGTGATCTTATCACCTGCAACCAATGCTCACTAAAAATATCCAGCGTGGCTGCCAGAGGCATCCTTACATTTGTGTTTAACTCATTATAAGGTCATTGTAATAAAATTACCATAGTGGACACTCTGACTCCCAACATGTACTTGATGCCGTGATACTTCAGGATTTCCAAAAAAAAGGGCAAGGAAACAGGTGATACTCCAGTTGTTTCAAACCCTACCCTCTTTGAATATTCAGTGAAGCCTCACAGTAGGCACTACTCCACCTGACTGCAGATCCTGTCGGGGCAGCCCTGAATCCTGCACTGGCTCTGCTGACTTCTGCCCATGTCTTCTCATCCTTCATCTTGCACTGAAGTATTTGGACTTAGCCACCCCACAATAAGATTCCGGTAGTTTGCTCGGGCTGCTATAACTAAGTAGCACACCCTAAATGATAGGACTGTTCCTTCACAGTTACGAATGCCAGAGGTCCAAGACAAGGTTGTGATCCGTGCTGGTTCCTTCTGAGGTTTCTGTGCTTGGCTTGGGTATAACTGTGTTCTCGCGCGGTCATCACTCTGTATCCTAACCTCTTGGCTTGGGGTCTATTACATGACTTCATTTAAGCTTAATTTTCTTTTTAAAGTCCCATTTTCCATTTCTGAGATACTGGGGTTAGGTCTTCATTGTGTGAATTTTGGGGGAACAGAACATAGTTCAGCCTGCAACTCAAGTGAACAGATACAGAGACCTGGCGCTGTGAAATGGGTCACTGAAGTGTGGAAGTCTAGGCTTTGAAAGAACATCGACATTCCAGAGAGTGAAATGGTGGCCTGCGGTCACATCCTTAGCAAATGGTGACACAGACCTTCCCACTTTCCCTCCCCTTTTCCTGTCTTCCTTCCATCCCCCAATGAAGGCTTGAATAGCCTCTCCTCGCCTTCTTACCTACTCTGTGTATTTGACCATTTTCTTCCTCTTTCTCAAGCTCAGTTTCTCTATGTGCAAGACAGAGACAATGGTCACATCCCAGAGATGTTGAAGATCAGAATAAGTTAATGCACACTGACTACGCTCACCCACACATCTTCAGAGAAATGCCCTTTCTCATCAGTTTGTGCAGTCATTCAACAATTCTGTCCTGGGTCCACTCCTCCACCTGACCCCCTATCAGCAGATCTGTACTGCAGACGGGTATGCTGCACAGGGTACCGAATACTGTGCCGGAGACACAAGCCTATGCATAGATCATGCGAACAGACTTTTGAAATGCCTTTGATGAGAGATTAGTGCTGGGGAGGAAGTAACGTCGGTATGGGCTTACATGGGAGACTCCTTGTGTTCTGTAGAGGTGCCCGCACTAGGCAAGTCATGCCGTGGGTGCCTGGAGTGGCCAGGCCTAGTTGGGAGGCGGACAGACTGCAGCCTCCACCTGCAGCCAGTGCTGTCCTCTCTGATCCCATCACCACATGACTCCAGCCCCCTCCTCAACCCCGCTTGTCAACAGCCTGCAAGAGAGGCAGCCGACTTACACCCACCTCATCTCCTCTGAGGCCCGTGCCCAGGGCGAACTGCTGATTCCTCTCCAGGAAGCGGATTTTCACATTGTAGACTTTGTTCCCATAAAACACCACCAAAACGTAGGGCTCTGCCTTGGATTTTGTGGAGCAGTCTCGGACCAGGAAGGTGCCATCCTATGGAACAAAGGTACATGGTCATCTGAGGCACGCCAGCGGCCCACCCTCGCACTGCCAGCAGTCATGATGCGTATGTGTGTGAAATCCCACCTAATTCAGTTTTATGGCAAGCACGTTACTGGTTTTCCCTTGGTAATTTTTGATTGCATGTCTGTTTATCTAAGAGTTGTTGTTTCTGGGACATGTACCAAGAGGAGCACCACATTCAGTTCTTCCATCATCCTTTACTGGCGTCAGTTTGCTGCCTACAATCTCAGCGTGGCCTTCTTTGAGAAGTGCCTCAGCCAGGCATGTGGTTTGCTTTTTCATTGCTCCCACAGCCCCTTTCCTGGTTCTAGCTCCTGACACTAGCCAAGTTATCATGTCATGAAGGCACCATCTACTTGTGCTCATGTCACTCTGTCAGCATGAAATGCCCTCTTCTGGTCCCTGCCTAAGTGCTTCCCTTCAGCTGTCAATCTTCCCAAGGTATCTATTCTGCCTAATGCCCAGTTACTATTCTAGAAATACTGAAGCCACTATACCATTTGAGGAGGTTAAGATTTTAGCCTAGTGAATTGGGTCTTCATGCCAAGATATGGCTAGTTGGTCCTGGGTTCCCTAAAGAGGCATGGTGTTTCAGTCATTGATATGAAGATACATGAAGAGATCTTATTAGGGAGTAGGAAATACAGCTGGGTGAGGCCAGTGCAGGTGTGGCACTAGAGGTAGCAGCTGGGGAAGGATGCGAGCTGTCAGAGGAGGAAGAGAGTTGGGAACATGAGTGTTTCAGAAGTCATGAGGTGGAGAGTGACAGCTTACAGAAGGCCAGCTGTGTCTCTGCCAAGTTCAGGCCATATGAGAAATAATCAGACACCCTGCTCTTTGGGGGCAGCTCACAGTGAGATGCGGCAGTCCTGCTGGCATTAACACACTTGCAAGGGTTAGCTCTGTGGCTGCTCTGTGCCATTCAGATAGATGCAAGTGCTGAAAACCTGTGGCTGCTGTACAGATGGCCATAGTGATGTGTAAAGGATGCATGTTATGGGGGTGAGAGGCCCAAATGCCAGAAATGCAGGTGGTCTCTAGAAAAGCACCTATTCTTGCCTTTCGATTTTGGTCCAACTGAGATCCAGCTGGCCTTCTGACCTGTAGAGCCCAGCTGGGGCTGGCCTTAGTGTGTTAGGCAGACACGTGCAGGCTGGGAGACCACTATACCACTCTTTGGGCCTTCTTTTCATCAAAAGAAAAAAAAATATTTTTAGAGCTGCCCCAGGAACCCGTATGCTGATGGTGCTAGAGAAGCAGTATTCCTGCCCTGCCATCCTCCAGCGACCCGTGCGCCTCAGAAAATGCTCCCCTTGTTCCACTTCCAATCTGATCCTGACATGTCTGTCTCAGCTCCCCATCTCAGCTCTTGATGTGCTTGGATCTTCAAAGCAACAGAATGTCAGATCTTTGCAGCTTCTAGAAATTAGGATGTGGGCATCTTAGGGAGGGGTGTTAGTCTGTTTACCATAGCAACTTAACATTTATTTATTTTGTTGAATTATGCAGCATCCACTCTTAGAATGCAGTATTAAAATTTACTGGAGACCTCTTTTTTTTTTTCTCTGTCCACTAGTCAGTTACGTCATTTGGGTGTTTCTTCATTTAGCAATGCCCACTGCTCTGGTTAGTTGAGTGTAGGCTCTGTTCTATTAGCTTTGAATGACCTTCTATCACTTCTAAGTAATTCAGTCCATTTCTCTGCACAAAGCATCCCTTTCATAATGACTTACTGTTCGTCAGTCTGGACTGGTCAAGGCAGCAGCACCCGAATGTGCATTCTGAATAGGGTGTGGGGTGGGCTGGGCTGCAACGTTCACCAGCTCATACAAGGCCAAATGGAAGGCCAGACTATGCTGGGCACTGGCCTAAAACTCAATGGCATGTATGAGAACTGGGTCTGGGAGTGGATCAAGTGGAGGAACTTGGGAAACTTCCCTGGCAAGTTATAGCTCCTGTTGGTGAACATGTGGTCCAGACCTGGGGGTCGAACAAGCTGGGCAAAGTAGCTCCGATGGCTAGCCAATGTGTGAATTGATAATGGAATGGGATGTACCAGGCAGGACTGAGCAAACCTTAGCCCATAAGTAAAATTGGAAACTAGGAGGGAGCACAGGTCATGCCGAGATAGGCTCTTGCACCTACTGGTCTGCATGAGCCAGGGATGCTAAGCCACAGTGTTTAAGGCAGGGGTCGGGACAGGTGAGGGGCTGTGCCAAGCTGAGTCAGAGCAACCACAGGCATGCGCGTGATCTATGGCTGGGAATAGGCCTGGTTGGGGAGCTAAGGGGACACCCTAACTGGGTTGAGGTTCCCACCAAGAGGCACATGGGCTGGAATGGGGGCTGTGTTCTGATCAGAATGATTGTATTCTCCTTTGGCACAAGTGTGGACTGGGACTGGACTCACCAAGCCAGGCCAGACTCCAACACCGTCTGGTATCCTGGAGGACCAGGGTAGATGTGGGACAGACTAGGCTAGGTCTGAACCCCTACTGAGCCATGTGTGAGCTGTATATGAGTATGGACAAACCGTGGCTGGGCTGAAACATCCAACAGCAAGAACCAGATTGGGTTGAAGGCCAGTCAGGAAAAGCCACTGTTGAGTAGGGTTGCCTCATGGACCCACTGGTATGCACAAAATCTGGCACTGGGAGAAGTTCTGATGGAGGAGCCTGGGCAACTCCTCTGGCAGGACACAGACCTGGCACGTAAGCACAAGAAGCATGATAGGAAACAGCCCAGAACAGGCCATGGAAAGTTACCCACTGGCATACAATTGGCATGGGTCGGGGGCAGACCAGGCTAAATCAGTTTACATCATCCACTGGCGAATCCGAGCACCAGAACAAAGTGTGGGTCAAGTCAGGTTCGGTTGCGACAAAAATCATTGCATATTACGGAATGCCAGGGTGAGGTTACCTGTACCAGATGTGACTGCAGCGCCCAACAGCACATGTGAGAATCAGGAAGGGAGGGGGCGTAGCCGGCAGGGGGAATATGGGGGTGTGATTCCTTTGCTGGACAGCTACTCCCGCCGGAGAGCGTGAGCTGGGATGGGGGCAGACCAGACTAGGCAGGGCTACAACACCTGTGTGCATCATGTGGACTAGATCAGGGAAAAGCTGGGCTAGGCTGATTGTTCCTACTGGTGCAAGCTACAATTTCAGTGGGTGAGGGTTGTTTGGGCTTAGCCGCAGCATCAGCTGGCAGAAGCTGGCAGTGGGGACTAATTCTGTCAAGTTAAACCACACAACCAACCACCTGGAGAGTGCATAATCCAGAAGTGGGAGTAGCCTGGGAGGGAAATAGTGGGCTCCTCCCTCTTGGGTTACCACTCCGATGGGAGAGCAGGAAAACTAGGATAGGGGCTGGGATGGCTAGACAGACAGGCACCCAACAACATCCGTGAGGGCTAGATAGTTGAGCTGGTTAGATGGAACTAAGCTTTTAATACCCATTGACATGTATGAGAGCCCAATGGGATGTGAGACAGACTGGACTAGTCTGCTATACATACTGGCAAACCAGGGTAGGGGGTGGGCCTGGTGGGGGTTATTGTGGGTCACTCCGACTAGGCCGCAGCTCCCACTGGTTTGTGTGAGGGGGGAGTGTGTGCTGGGCAGAACCAGGTTGGACTACAACACCCATTGGTTCCAGTGGAAGACAGGGCTGGAGGCAGAACGAACCCAGCAATTGCAACCATTAGCTGATCGGGGTGATGGACTGTGCCAGGCCCTGTGCTTGCTACTATATACAAGAATCTGGTCTGGAAACACCTCAGACAAAGTTCCTTTGGGGATCCTCCCAATCGAACTACTGGACTCGGAGCCCTAGCCATGCAAAGACAGAGGACAGGACAAGTCAATCAACCACTTCAGCTATATGATGGCAGTGAAAAACTGGACAAATGGAGACTCTATGAAGGACTTTGTCAATCAGTGGATTCTTCAGTGACCTCATCGTGCTCGGAGTGGTGAGACTGGCAGCAATTCATAACTGTTGAACCAGCAAAACCGCTTGAGCAAGACCCTCGGAGCATGCCCCACATTAGGGACCTGGGGTGGGTGGGAGACTGGGTGGGGCTTCTCCCTTAAAATCCCCCTTTACTTCAGATACATAAAGGAAACAATATGGAAATGATGGTCTTGCCTACTTTCCTGTAGCTGTTGAACCTTTTTACCCTAGTCGACTATGTAAAGATCTTTAAAAGTATAATAAAAAAAGTAATGACTTACTGTTGGTAATGGTGGTTGTGGTAGTCATTTGTCCTAATCAAACGTATTCTTCCCTCCCTTGGGTCATTTGGGAGGTTTGTACTGTCTTACACCCTTTGAAGTTACTTTTGGTTGTGTGGCTTACTTTAGCCAATGATATGTGAGCAGAGGTGAGGTATGTTCCTTCTGAGCTGAAGTTTTAAGAGCCGTGGTGGGATGGAGGAAGTTAATCAGTGAGGTGGGAACTCCTTTCTTGAACATGGAGCGTAAGCCGTGCCATTATGCTCAGGAGCTGAGAGCTGCAAGTGCAGCACAAGCCCTCCCATCCTGGCTGCCTGGACCATCAAGGCCCTTTCTCTGCTCTTAAGGAACGAGACACAGCGAGCAGCTGGGCCTGAGCAGACCTTTGCTAACGAGATGACACTGGGAAGACACAGATGGAGCCCCTTTCCATTCTCACCTCCTCATCCTCACTTCCATACCAGATCTTCAAGAGTTCCTTAGGGTTGACCTTTCTGTTGCTAACTTTAGAAAAAAAGACCTATACAGTTCTTCAGGAGGTTGAGAAAGTCTTAGAGTCTGCCTGAGACCCGAAACTCCATATTTAAAAATCCCCTCTCTCAGAACTGGTGTTGTGGCTCTGCGGCCTAAACATCTTACGACTAGAGTGCTGGTTTGAGTCCTGGCTGTTCTGCCTCTGATCCTTGGAAGGAAGCAGAAGCATGGCCCAAATATTTGATTGCCTACTCCTCATGTAGGAGATCAAGATGGAATTCCAATTTTCTGCCTTTGGCCTATGCCAGTCTTGGCCATTGTGGTCATTTTGGGAGTGAATAAGCAGATTGAAGATTTCTTTCTTTCTCTCTCTGCCCTTCAAATTAAGATTTTATATATATTTTTTCTCTAGAATGAGACAGGGAGGGTGCTGCAGAAGCCACTGCACTGAAGGATACAGCTTGTGCCACCCTGTGATCCATGAGCTGAGCACACTGGCACGATGCAGGGAGTGGGGATGGTGGGCCCTGTGGGAGGCGTTACCTTCCTCTCCTTCATTAGTGCTTCTTCTACTGCCTGCCGACCGTACTGTCCAATGTACCACTCGCTGTGCTGTACATCCTGCAGGACAGGTTCACACAAGAGGGTATGAGATTCCAAGGAAAGTAGTTAAGTATGAATTAATTCAGAATTTACTTTTGTTCCCTTAGTGTCAGTCAGCTTAACTTTATTGCTGATGTCCAGTTCACAGAATTGCATCCCTGAATTTAGGTAAGCCCACAGATGCTTGGGGAGATGGATACAAACTAGTGATAACTGAGAGATTCTGAAGTTGATTGGAGAGTCTGGAAGGAGCTAGAGCTTGTACTCCATCAACTGAGAAAGGTCCTTTGGCTACACTTTCTAAAGTGCAAGCAAAGGATCTAGCCACTGCTGCTTTCTGAAGCGGTAGCTGCCCAAGCCCCAAGAGCAGGGATGGATGTGAGGGCTGGAGCCTGGGTTTACCACAGCACCATCAGAACAGCAGGAGGGCTGGCGTTGTGGCAAAGTGAGTTGGACCTCTGCAAGGGCCACCATCTTCTGTGAGCACCAGTTAGCCTTCCAGCTGCCCTAGTTCCAATCCCACTCACTGCTAAGCAGTCTTGGAGGCAGCAGAAGATAACCTGACTACTTGGGTCCCTGCCACCCACATGGGCGACTCAGAGCAAGCCCCTAACTCCTGACTTTGGTCTGGGTTACTCCAGAACTAAAGCAGCAATTTGCAGGGTGAATTAAAGGGTGGAAGGTCAGTCTCTGCCTCTTGCTCTTTTCAAAAAAGAGGTAGGTACAGATTCTGAAATCTTTGTGTCACTTGTTTTTAGCTAATAAAAATATTAAAAGCCAATCTCAGAGCTTCCTGTTGGGTGAGCACGGTGAGGGAGAGCTGGCAGCGTTCTGCTCGCTGTACCTTTTGCTCAGACGCCGTGGGGCAGGGTTTTCTCCGGCTCGGGGGTTCACAGGGCGGCCTGTTCTCCCGGGGACGGTAGCTGGCTGAGGGCTGGCATCTCTGAACGGAAGAGGGCAAGCTGCCTGTGTGATCTGGGAAGAGGACGTTCCACTAAGGTGAGGTTTCCTTACTCACCCAGCCCGTCTGCCTCCCACCCAGAGTGGAAGCCTGCACTTCTGCCGACCCGCCAGTTGCCCTTCTCTGGCCCTTGACCTGCCTCTGCCCTTCTCTGGCCGTTGTGATGTGCTTGGCAGCATCCTGGCAGAGGCCTCAGGTGGCCTCTGTGCTGTTGGCTTGCTTTGGCTGTTGCCATGTCCCTCCCATTTCCCTCAGACACCCAGAGAATTCTCTTGTATGAGGTAGCTCTAACTTCGCTAATCCCTCTGGTCAAATTCATGACCTCCTTTGCAAGAATCTGAACATGTTCCTTCATCCACTACACTCTGAGTGGCCTGTCTTCTCACTTGGACAGCCTCATCTTCGGGTCTCCCCGGTTCCATCCCTGTCCATTCCATTCTGGGCATGAGAAATCTCTTCAGCTACTTAAATGTGCCACATTTGTCTTTAAATCAGAAAACACTTTTCTTATAAAAAACAAGCTGCTAATAATAACAAAGATATATATTGTTATATATTTGTATATATGTATATATATGTATATACACACATATAAACCACAAATATATAAATAATATATATTATATTTATGTATATGGACACATTGCTTTTTTAACCTATCAGGATGACTGACAAATTGTCATTATTGAGACAATTATTTGGCAAATATTTTATTAATAATGAAGAAACAGAACCTATCATTTCATGACAAACAAGAGAGCATTTTTTTCTCAGTTATAAACGTAAGCGTGGCAAGTGCAAATTGGGCTTTGGGAAAGCTTATATCTGCCACTAGGATGTAAGAGCATTGCAATAGCTGGGCTGTCTGGTAAGAGTAATCGCATTCTTTGCAAGCGTGTTTGCTCGACGTTATGACGCATGTGCTATTGCAACATCAGTGCTTGTTGCGAATCATTATTTTCCAAGTGACCAATGAATGATGATATAAGAGCACGCTTTGGTAAAAGGTTAGTTCAAGTGCAAGATAGATCAAAGAATTTGAAAGCTTACAAAATAAGAATCTACTTCTAGGGTTTTGGTTTCACACAGTGCCTGAGTTTAGCCTACTACCACTTGTCAAATACTGATGTCATACTTTCTCCACATACTGCAATGAAAATGTACACTTCTGCATATCCTTCCAGTAACAAAATAGGAATTATATGAAATCCATACAAATATGGAATAAAGTATAAGGAGCAACACTCTGCAAAGACCTTTGGAATTATGTTGGTAATTTTAAAGATCAACTGTTTTAAAAAGAAATCATAAAGCTTTAAGAGAATAGAAACAATACAGAAGTAAAATGCTGGGGAAAAGGCATATAATACTAAAGATAGGATTGGTACGATGATAGACATATTGAAATTTAGAATTCTGATCATAGCTTAACACAAACTGGGGAAGAATAGACTACTTGTTGAAATTTCTGAGATGAATCCTAGAGCTAAACATTTAGCAAATATTTACATGACAGTTACTATAACAATTGGAGTAGATCTATATTCTACTTCTTGTTATTAAAAACCCCAATTTCTCCTTAACGCCATTAAGTAGAATGAACAGTATTCCTGACAGTCTGTTAATTTTATTTTAATAATGTTGAGATTGTGGCTTTTGATGTTAAGCCTAAGAATATTTGTTATAAGGACTTGAAAGTATCAAAGTCTTTGGTGCAGAAATCTGCTTGATCACTTAGTTTAAATTCTGTTGATCACAGTAAACTAATTTAAGCAGCGTAAGACTATTATAATGGGAATAAAGGGGAAGTGTAGTGTTTAAGAATCTAGCTTCTTCCTAATGTAGACCCTGGGACGTAGTGGTGACTCATGGAACTGGGTTCCTGGGCCTCATGTGGGAGACGGATGGAGTGCCAGGATGCCTGCTTTGGCCCAGAACCCAGCTTCAGTTGTTGCAGGTGCTTGGAATACAAGCCTAGCTGATGGGAGCTCTGTCTGCTCTCTGTCTCTCAAATAAACACACAAGAAAAAGAGGAAGAAAGAAAAAGATACTTCTCTTTTTAACATTTCATTGTATAAGTAAAAAGAGCTTAAGCCTCAAACACAATGCAAAATCCTTACCATCAGCATTAAAGAATTCTGAGGGGTGTGTGTGTGTGTGTGTGTGTGTGTGTGTGTGTGTGTGTGTGTTAGCTTGGGAAGAGGAACTAAACCAGAGTTTTGATGTTTTAGTGTGTTTTTGTTGAACATGCTAAGTGACAAGCAGGTATAGCTCCAAAGAGAAAGGGAAGAAAGGAAGAGACTAGTCCAATGCATGCAGAGGGTAGTAACAGTGTGGTACATAGGAGACACGAAATTGTGCAAAAGTAAGTGCAAAGGTGTGAATAACAAACACCAAGGGTGCAACTTGGAGGCAGGTTGGCTGAGAGTGTCCAAATGCATTGTGTTGGTTCTAAATCAGGCAATTTTGAAGAGTAGACAGGAGAGTGTGGCTGTCTCTGCCGTAGGACAGCCTGAGTAGTGGGCTCTCTGGATCTCACTAAAGGTATTTGCTTTAGCAAAGCCCATGCTGTTTTCCATAATGGCTATGCTGATGGACACACACCACCTCCAAGGGCATTAAATAACTCCCCGTTCTCTGAATCCTTGCCAGATGTTTTCCTCTTTTTGGTGATATCCATTGCAACTGGAATGGGATGATATTGTATTATGATTTGGGGCTGCTTTTCACTGATGACTAGTGATATTGAAGATGTTCTTGAGAAACTTGGTCAAAATAAAAAAGGAAAAAGAAAACAAAAAGAAAAAAAGAAATTTGTTAGTCATCTGGGTGTCTTCTATAGAAAAGTGTCTTCAGATCTTTGTCCATTTAAAAAATTGATTAAGACTTGGATATTCTTATGCCTTAGTGAAAGTTAATAAAGGTATCTGATAGAACTAGTGGGTAGAGGGCCCAACATGGTGGCCTAGAGGCTAAAATCCTTGCCTTGAACGTGCTGGAATCGGTTCTAATCCCGGCGGCCCGGATTCCTATCCAGCTCCCAGCTTGTGGCCTGGGAAAGCCGTCGAGGCACAGTACTGGCCGTTGTGGTCACTTGGGGAGTGAATCATTGGACGGAAGATCTTTCTTTCTATTTCTCCTCCTCTCTGTATATCTGACTTTACAATGAAAATAAATAAGTCTTAAAAAAAAAAGAACTAGTAGGTAGAGTAGTGATTAGAAGCCAGGGAAGCGAGGAAGGGGGGAGAGATTGGTAACGTGTTCCTTATCTTGTGTTCAGTGGCACAGCAGGGGAACTAGCTTCTATGACAATCTGTGACCTATGTAAAAGTAACAGTGAAAAAGAGCGTAGGACTTCCCAACATTGAGATAGAAACGTGAGTTACCCCAATGTAGCCATTACAAATATATGCATGTACCACATGATCACACTGCATCCCATCAATATGCGCAAATATGTGTCAATTAAAAGTAAAAGATTCCAGTATGTGCTAGTTATACATCTAAAGAACAATGACATAAAAAACATTATAAGCAGAAGGATGGAGACTGTGAAGCAGATCTCGAGCATACATGGATACGCTGCAATAACATTCAATTGACTGAAACATTTGTTCTATATTTCAGTGAGGCAGGACTTGGAGGCATGTTATTTAAGTGTTCATAACAGTCTTTTCAACATGAACTGAGACAATAAGAACATGCTTGAGAGAGGAAAATGACCATATCCGTATTTTCTATCACTCAAATTGTGTTGCATATACAATAGTGTTCAGTCATTATGAATTTTTCATGAAATTGTGGCAATTGACTTATTATCTTTTCAAGCATGAATGCCTTTCTTGAATATTTTAAAAGTCCTATTCAAAGAACAAAAAAGGTTTTGGAAATAGTTTTGCATCTGTAATCTATTCAGAAAATGAGTTAACTAAAGCAAACCAGGAGAAACACAAAGCCACGACTTTGCCAAGCAGTTTCCCTCAGCGCCCTGGCTGTATCCATGAATGAATGAGAGTCTGAGCATGTAGCTCACGCCATGTAGTTCAGTGATTTTGTTCTAAAATGATGGAAACAGCCAATCTTTTCATATAAAGTAGTATAATGTACATATACATATCTGCCCATAATAAAAAGGGTAATTAACATAGCCATCACTTCAAGCACTTATCATTGAAAATCTTCTAGCTATTGTCATTTTATAAAGACCCTGCATTGGCTGGCACACACGGGAATCAGTTCTGGGGCTCATCCACCCACCAACTGGACCAGTGGTCTGAGAACTCCAACCATAGGGAAACTCATAGAATCTGTGGTCAGACCAGGGAGAGTGTGTGTCAGAATCGGCTTCCTTGGTTGCTGAAATCTGTGAAGTGGATAGCATACCCAGATGCACATGGGGATGTGACAAATCATTGAGGCCTGCAGAGAACATCTAGTACCACAGAGGGCAGAACAAATTGGACAACTCTTCTGGCCAGGTGCTGACAGCAAATATCTGGGAGAATGGAGATTCTAAGGTGGACTATGTCAGTGGATCTTGGGAGGATTTCCTCAACCTTTTAACAATGAAATCAGCAACACCTCAGAACTACTAAAACCACATGGGCAGTGACCTCAGAGCATGCTCTCCACTGGGGACCCAAGATGACATTGAGTGGTTGTCCCACATGCCTAGGTACTGATGTGGTTAGGCTGCTGGGAGTGGCCCTCTCCTATTCTCTTCTCCCTTCCTCCAGATACAAGAAGAAAACAAACAAACAAAATTGGAAACAATTGTCTCATTCTCTTTCTTCCATTACTTGACCCTTCCCACTCTAATCAGTGGTCCACACGGGCATCTGTCCTTCTCAGCTATGTAAACATCAACAAAAATGAAATTAAGAAAAGATTTTTATTTATCTGTGTTTGATAGAAAGGCAGGTTTACAGAGAGAAGGAGAGACTTCCATCACTGGTTCACTCTCCAGTGGCTTCAACAGCTTAAGCTGAAGTGATCTGATCTGAAGCCAGGAGCCAAGAGATTCTTCTGGGTCTCCCACGTGAATGCATGGTGCCAAGACCTTCGGCTATTCTCTGATGCTGTCCCAGGCCACTAGCAGGGACCTGGATGGGAAGTGAAGCAGCTGGACATGAACCAGCATCCATATGGGATGCTGGCACTTGGAGGTGGAGGATTAACTAACTGAAGTATTATGCCGACCCCAGGCTTTTTTCCAAGTATAGAATTTATTGTTGTTAACTATGGTGGTCAACATACAGGGTAAGAGATCAGTAAATCTTATGTCTCTTCATCACTGACCAAATGTCCCCTTCCTCCTTCTCTCCTGCCCTCCAGGCTCTGGCAGCCACTTTTCTATTTTTTGCTTCTGTCAGAATGATTTCTTTAGATTCTACAAATGAGAACTATCATTTGATACTTGTTTTTCTGTGCTTGGCTTATTTTATTCAACCTAATGAGCTCTAGGTCATACATGCTGTTAAAAATGTCAAAATTTCATTCTCTTCTATGGCTTGAGTAATAACATATGCACTACACTTTAAAAATTGATTCATCAATTGATGGACAACTAGGTTGATTTCACATCTTGGCTGTTTTCTTGACTAGTGTTATAACAAGCGTGGGAGTATAGATATTGCTTAGATGATTCCACTTTCTTCAGACATACTTCAGTACCACAGATGGACTTTTTGGTTGCACACAGTTCTATTTTTAAGGTTTTTGGAACCTCCATACTATTCTCCATAATGGTTACACTAATTTACATTCCCACCAAGAATGCTTAAAGGATTCCTTTCTTCGACATTCTTGCCGAAAGTTGTTTCTGGTAATAGTGACTCTAGCTGGAGTGCAGTGAGATCTCATTGTTGCTTTGATCTGCATTTCTTTATGATTAGTGGTGTTGAGCATTTTACCATTATTTCATGAAATAAGCCTCCCTTCTTGCATAAGGGAAGGTCACAGATTGACACAGGTCAGGTTCTAGAATATTTGGGACAGCACGATGTAGGTGGCCAATAGCATATGAGGCAGGGTAGCATATTAAACAAAGCCTGGGTTGTAAAATCATACTGACATCACTTAGTACTAATATTTAAAAATTCTCATGAGGCTTATGCTTTTAATGCAGTGCCAGACCTGTGCTAGCCCCTCTACAAATGCTAGTTGTGAGTGTTGTTAAGTTTATTGGAGAATCATAGCTTAGGCCTTTGTGTTGTAACTTTTATAATAAGACATTTTGTTTTAAGCTGGTAAGCCATAAATATTTATGGGGAGATTTTAACTTGCCTTTACATACCATTTCAGGAAAATTTATAAGAAAAAGCATTTATTTTAAATAGAAGGAGAACATTACTGTGACAAATATTAAACACAAGTGAAAAACCCAAATAAATGTGGTTACTATCATAAATTATTTCCTCATTTGTAAAGTAGAGATAAAATATCTCTAGATACTGAGATGTACACTTCATTAGTCTACACTGATTCCCTGAAGTGTTCAACTTGAAACCAGAAGGCTTTGGAGGGGACTCTGGATTGAGAATTCTGTAAGAGTGGAGAAGTTGTGTGTAGTTCTGACACCTGATCTTGCCAAGCACTGGGATTTGTACATGCACTGATATCTAGCAGAAGGCACAGCTGCTAGAGGGCCATCTCAGATGCTTAGTCTTGCTTAGAATGAGGTGGGGGCTGTCACAATTCTGTATCGTTATGGTCTAGCTCAGTTGTGGGCAAAAACCAGGTACCTGGTGGATATTTATTACCAAAAAGAGATTTAATAGATGCCAAAACATTTCCCCGTGTTCACCCCAGACTTCTGTTAGCAAGCTTGTTTCCTCTGAGATGAATTGAGAACGACAGAAGAGACCCCAGTACTAATGATTCACTTGCAGCACTGGGATGTTTGGACTCATAACCATGAAGACCATCTTTTCACTAATCCTTCTGTTCTATTCATCAATTGCTTTTTCTGTTTTAGATGTCCATGATGTTTATATTTCAAGTTAAGACACTGGATTTTTCTCTAAGCTAGGATTCCGTTTGCTCCATCCCTCCAGCATATTTAATAACTCATCAGAAGGAGGACCTGTCGGTCTCTTGAGTCTCTGGACTTTCCACCTGGGCATGCCAAGTCCTTTCATGCTGATACCCCCAGATGTGACCTGACACAGTCCAGTGTTCCTGACACTGGACTCTGAGGTTAAATCTGTTGGGGTATTCATACTCTTTTTCATCATTTTCTTTTTTTTTTTAAATAAAAGAATTGTGTTGGGAATTGCATCAGGGACCCAAGATCCACATGGCCTATGGCAGAAGTGAAAAGAAGGCATAAGGCAAGCCAAGGAGGAAATTCTTCAGTCTACTGAGGTTAACTGAGTAGGCTGAAGAAGAGGCAGTTCAGAAAGTTTGGCTCTTGAAGCATCAGTTCGTTCCCACGTGTCAAGCACAGGATCTCATTCATTTACCTAGTGTGTGAAGTTCCCTCACAGTTTTCACCATACTCCAAGGGCTTTTAATCTTCCAACCCCAAAACGACTTTTTGTCTCAACAGAGAGAGAGATTTCTGGTCTGTACCCAAACATAGAATCTCCTTGGCAAATACAGTGAAGGAAGAATGAACATGACAGATCTAGTGTGGAAAGAATAGTACTAGTAGTAATATCCTCACTCCCGACCCAAGAACAGTCGTATACTGTATGCTGCTCTGAGCAACTTCACCAACACAATATGCTGCTGCTTTTTATCTGTTCAATTTCACTTTATAGATTTTCCCTGAGATGAATCTCTGCTATACCTAATAGACTGGGGAAAATTAAAAGTTTATCAGAAACAACTGTTAGAGAGGATGGGGAATGAGGAGGACACACAGACTGTTGGTGAGGTTGGTAACGTTTCCTTTGGGAAATACATGATGATACAGAAGAAGTGCAGCAATTTCACTCTTAGAGAAACCATCATAACATGTACATGGGCAGCGTGTGAAACCAGTGATAAGATAATGGATAGTAATGTTCTTAAGAGGAAAAAACTTGAGAACTCTGTAACTGGTCATATGTAGCTGTGAATTAAAATGACATCTTATTAGTGAATTGGAATGCTCTATGGCAATGAAAATGAGCTAAGTACATGTATACACAAAAGCTTGACGATGCTGAGGTTGACATGAGTGAAGTTCCAGGGTAGGGGTATCTTAGTTTGATAACCTACTTGTTTATTTTCTAATTCTTACTGAAAGAACTCTTACCTCTGTTTTGCACACCATGGCTACTCACTATGAATGAAGAGCTAAAGGAAACACAAGAATTGGACGTATGTTAGTATTTCCCATAGTGGGTGCAATTCTATTTAGAAGAATGGTAAATTCAATTCCAGGTCATTGTGAAAGCCCTGGGGTCACATTCATAAAGCATGCTGTAGTTTACTGAATATGCTAGAAGTATCATCGGCCCTCCCTCTCCCTTCTCAAGATTGGTAAATATCAAATATAGAACAAATTAATTGACTCTGTTAAGTTCTTTCTGAGTCATTTCAGTAACTGAGATGGTCGTTTACAGACCTGTCACAATTCTTCACTTTTTGAAATCATGAATTTATACTTACCTTATAGTTATGTAACTATGGAATATAATATTTTGGGGCAGGGATTTGGCAATAGCCATTGGGACATCACTTGGAAACCTACACCCTGTATCTGGAGTGCCTGGGTTTGACTCTGCTGCTGGTTCCAGTTTCCTGTTGATGTGCATCTTGAGTAAAAGTGAGTGATGGTTCTAGATCATGGGACCTTGTCACACCGATGGGAGAGCTGGGTGGAGTTCCTGACTCCTGGTTTTGGCCCAGAGCAGCCTTGGCTATAGCAGGCATTTGAGGGGGAAGGTGGATCAGCAAACAAATGACTCCCCACTCCCTGCTTTTCAAATAAATAAAAATAAAAAATGAAAAATTAGTCTATGCTGCTACCTTCAGTTCATGATCTAAGTTAAACTTTAGGATTGAGAATCAACCATAGCTAGGAAGCCAAGTAGAGAAACAATTACTCCTTGAAAGGTGAGCTGGGTGAGAAACTGTGGAGTGCTATAAAGTAAATCCACAAAGAAAAGAGGACTAGGGAAGTATTTGATCATCAGAATGACCATGTACATTTCAAAGTGGCATTATGAAGATTGTTCCTCAATGGCTTTACTTCACACTTGACTGGCTCTTTTTGTAATTGTGATCAACACCATCGAAATAGGCTCCAGGTGCCACCACAGTTCAACCTAATTGCAGGGCTCCAGCCAGGACTGCACTATTGACTGAGGCCTCTAGATTAATTGAGTGGAGGGTGAACTTTTGTTAGCACCGTTGACATCAATTGAGTACACAGCTAGCTTTGGTTGCCTTCTGGAAGGTTGGGGTCTTACAGTGGGCTTTGTAGACAGAATTGCCAGCAGATCATCTAGCTGTCACATTGTGCTGTTGTCACTGGACACTGTCACTGACTTTGCTCTGTGAAAACCAGGATTCATCTTCTAGGGCACGGGCACAAGAATAAAGGATCAAGATAAAACCTCGGATAAGGCTTTATTTATGAAGGAAGATGCACAACTGTCATGATATGGTATAATTGTCATGGCAAAAATGTGCATGACTGAAGTTCTGGTGGGAGTAAAATTACACTGAATCTATACCAAAATTGCTTTGGTTCTCAGAAAGCTGCCCTGGATGAAATGCTAACTGAGCTGACCTCTGAAGGCAGAAAGGAGTGAGAGTATGTTTAGGTGGATGAAGCAGCATCTATAGGCTCAGAGGCAAGAAAACAGTGCATTCTACCAGACACTGGAAGACAGCTACTCATGAATGGGAGATAGAATCTGGCCATAGTCACTGTAATAGGAAGCTATTAGGGCAGTTCAGGCAAGAGTTGATGGTGGCTCACCTTTGCTTAGAGCTAGGAGAGAAATGGATGGAATTAAAATGTTTTATAGGTAGAATTTTGGGATTTACAAATTAATTGGATGGGTGCAATGAAACAGGAAGTAAAAAGCCTGCACAGATATAATGTTTTGTGAATAAGAGTAGAAATGGTGGGATGAATCTTCAGTCTTATGAGTTAGTGAGGCTTATGGACTACTGAAGAGAAACAGTCCATTAGACTGTGAATATTAAGTCTGGAGTTAAGAGAATTGGTTTGAGAGTAAGATAGAGATCTTAGAATTATCAGCCTAGGACTAACAATTGATCTTGAGGATAGTTGAGATTGCCCAGGGCTCCAGATGAGCTCTGAGGAACAACAACATACAGAGGCAAGAAGAGGCTTTAGAATAAGGGGTCAATTAGGAGAGGAAGAGAATTTGGAGAGTTTGGTTGGTAGATTGAATGGACAAATGAAACAAGCCAAGACCATGGGTATCAACTGAAAAGCTTAATATTAATTAATTAATATTAAGATTAATATTTATTTTCTTTTAGAGAATTCCATTAAGGTATGATATAATGTGGTCACAATTTATAGCAGGCAGATCTTAAACAGGAAAGACAACAATAAGACGTAAAAAGCCACAGCCCTAATACAACAGAGGTCAGCCAATGAGAATGAAGTGATGAAGTTGCAAACCAGCTTATGGCAGCAAAGTGGGGAAAGAGGCAGGGATAGGGGATGACAGTGATGTACTAATGCCCTGGGTTTGACTGTAGTAATGAAATATCATGTTTATTGAGTTTTTGTAACTATCCTGGCTTCGATCTGATGTTCCCATGCAAGATAGTAACATTTCTCAAGTCACATTGTTCACATTGTGTTAGAGAATTTAGTGTATCCTGCCTACCATGGCTCTTTCCCACATGTAGTCTCTTACCAGGAGCTAGTCACTGAACGAATATAAGGCAGTATTTTAGCCATGGGCAGGTACTAGGATCAGGGTTCATGGTCTAGGTTTTCAAGTGGCTGTGGCTTGCATGGGTCACTGCAAGGTGTTTGGGCTTTGAGGCTGGGCTTGGTTTCGGTAGTAACGGCCGCAACCTCTCTGGACCTCACTTTTCTCACTTAGAACGCAGGACAGAACTAACTCCTGGATTCAGTGTGGCTTCACACGTGAGCTGATGGATATGAAGGAATTTTTATGAAGGGAGAGGTTGGACAGGAGTAAGTATGGGGGAAATTTCATAGGCAGAGAGGGATAGTCTGTGTCCATGTTGCATAGTGAGCTAGAGTGTGGTAGCTGGAAGGCATCTGCTGGGGTCCCAGGGCAGAATGGAAGGGGAAGGTATCCCTAATGGAGTGAGGACCCTTACAGCGCTGTTTTGGAGGCCCTGGATTTTGTTTTAAGGAAGCCACCACTTACTTCTGGTGACTTAGGTGGGTGAGCCATCTGTCAGAATCTTGGCTTCAACTCAGTTGACAGCTGAGACAGTAAGTTAACCAAGCAAATACTTTAAAGAGGCCAGGGCATCCTGGTTATCTATTAAGTGTTGTTCAGGTATAATACAAGTCATGGTGAGACTGTTGACCAAAAATAGCTAGAAATGACCAAGCTCTCTCATACGGCTGATTCACGTCCATTACAGTGAACTCTGTCCAGGGTATGTGCTGGTCCTGAACTCCCCAACCTTCTTATTGCCTCCTCGTTGGACTTCAGACACAAAGGTCACACATTTTCTTTTCTGTTTTTAGATCAGAAAATTCTGTGGTCCCTTTGCAAGATAGCACACGGCCCCTACCCTGCAAGACCCATCAAGATATTCTTGGCTTCTTACCTGGGAACCCCAGGCGGGATCTCTTGAATAGCTTGGTTTTGTGTCAGCAGAGATGGTTCAGGTGTCACCTGGTGGTGGGGTGCTGTGTAAGGGAGTGACACAGTCTTGTCAGTTAGAAACTGAAAGTGACCAAGGCCCGTTAGAATTGCACTGGAACTACGATAACTGAATGCAGGCAGTGTCCAAGGTCATTGGTGCTAAGTGGAAACTAACACACACACACTCCTAGCTCTTGGTGTGACTTCTCCCTGAGGCTATAACAATTGCTTTGAGTGTTCACAATTTGGAACATATCATTAAACTTCCCAGAAACACAAAATGTATTACAATGGGAGTTTTTATATTTTAGAAATGGTTCTAAATCAGGCAATTTTGAAGAGTTTTAGCCTCATTCTCATTTTTTCATTGTTATCAGTTGACAAGTATTTACTGGACACCTATTATGGATAAACCTACAGGTTTTCTGCCATGATCGATGGTTAAATAATGCAGATGGACACAAATCTTACTTTCTAGTGGAAGGAAACAGAAAAGAAATACACACACAATTCAGTAAACTATTTTCAGGCATTATGAGTGGGTTTTAAAAATATTGATAGACATTGCATATTGTGGAAAGCTATACACACATTCAAAATTGCTTTGCACCAAAACAAACTTACTGTATAGATTTTTGGAAGTGTTACTTTGGGGCGCAGAGTGGTGTGTGTGTGTGTGTGTGTGTGTGTGTGTGTGTGTGTGTGTGTTGAGTGAAATCTGAGCTGAGATCTAAAAGAGGATGAGCAGGGGGCTGGAGATGCTCAGAGCTGACCTGTACTTGTCCGTGTTCTGATGTCCAGTCTGTAGATTGCTCAACTCTCAACATTCTGATGTAGACCAGAAGTTCCAACCTGGCTACAACCAGGGGCATGTTGCTATAGTAATCAAGTTTTGCAAAGTTTTGCCCCGCACACAAACTGGTGTTATGTAGCTATTACATGTGCCATTGGTGTGACTGTTTTTATTTCCTTTTCATCACAGATAGATTTTAACCATCCAGCCATAATGAGCAAGGGCTCATCATAATGGAATGATAGAGGAGATCCCATAAAATATTTCCCACACTGTGGTCACAAGTAATAAAACTCAAGGAGCATAGAGATACCAATGGGTCTTAATTTTGGTTGTTACTCCATTCTCTGTTCAAGGCTGCTCATAAACTAGATACCTTCAATCAAAGGGATTGTGACTGGAGTTATCAACTGGTCCATTAATCACACGTCCCATAAAAACATGTCATTGTCATTGTCATCAACAGTCCCCTCGGCATCTGCCCCTCTTATAGCACCAGTAATGTCACAGGGTTGCACTGATAACCACTGAAGCCTGCTATTACTTAAATCATGGTTTATGTTAGGTTTTAATATCATTTAGAGTTGTGAATAAACACCTACTCCTCTATCAGGGACCCTTGGGAAACCATAAACCCAGGTTAGGCCCCTACTCAAGTTTAATTTTCTTGATATAGAAGAGCAGACTCCAGGCTTGACAGAAAATGCCTGTGGATGGTGGAGGACCCTGCGGTCCTGCCTTCCTCACCCAGTGTTGCACTGTGCTGTTGCTCATGAGCTCTCTGGGCCACAGGCCCAGATTCTGGGCACAGTGTGTCATTGCAAAAGAATGGATAAATGTGGCTCTGAAAGATGACATGAGGTGACTTGCTTAGCATCCTGCCATCTAATGAGTATTGGATTTCATATTATGCAGCAGTGGCACCCACAGTGTGCACGTGTTTGTGTGTGTGTGTGCGCACATGCATGAAGACATCTGGGTGTGTGATTGAGTGACCTCAGGAGTAGACAGGCTCTGCAGCCAGAGGTTAGTGGCAGGGTGACAGTGTGGCTGCTTGGCTTGCTTCCCTCATCCCTTCCTTCCTCCCTTCCTCCCTTCCTCCCTCCCTCCCTCCCTCCCTCCCTTCTTTCCTCTTTCCCTCCCTCCATCCCTCTCTCCCTCCCTTCTTTCCTTCCTTTCTTCCTCCCTCCCTCCCATCTTCTTTTCTCCCTCTCCCTCCCTTCCTTTCTTCTGCTTGCTTCCAGTGTGTCTGCCATGCCTGGAGAAAACCTTTGGCCACCTCTGATGTCAACATCCCACTTAGACCACAGGGTGCTTGAATAGAATATGATGTACTATTCCACCTGAATCAGGCCAGTACACACACACATACACACTCCAGACTTCAAAAAGTTAATTCTTTTAAATGATGATTAGAACTTTAACTCCAGATGTAGAACTTATTCTATTGATATTAAGGCCAAAGGGGGTGGGGGGGAGGAAAGCAAAAATCTTACGTTTTTCTGCTTCAAGGACCTATATCAAAAAGAAAAAAAAAGTTGAAAGACTCCAAGTGACAGAATTTAATATAACACTATATTTGGTTTTGGAGCATTTGAATAATAAGAGTTTGGGTGTTTTAAAAATATTTAACAGTATCAAATTATGTACTTGCTACAGGAGAAGCTCTATTCAACTTTTCATGGACACCCACTTAGTAGTCTGTTTATAGAATGCAGTGATGTCGTGACATAGGTTTGTACCATATGATAATTGTGGCAGGGTAATTGCCATAGTCATCCTCACACATTTATCATCCTCACACATTTAACACTTGTAATCTTTTCCTCTAGCTATTTTCAGGAATAATAATAAACATTTTAATAATAAATACAGAATTTAGTAAGATGTTATTAACTGTAGCCACCCTACTGTGTTACAGGACATGGAGAGTTGTTCCCTATCCGAGGAATTTGGTTAAAAAGTGCTTTTCCCTCTTTCTCCCCATTCCCCTTGCCCACCACTATTTTACTCTATTTCTGAGAGCACTTTTTGCTGTTTCCTCATCTGAGTGAAAACATACAGTATGTATATTCCTGTGCTTGCCTTATTTCACATTGCATAATGTCCTCAAGTTTCCCCAAGTGATAGGACTTCATTCTCTTTAATGGATAAATATTATTTTTCTGTGTAAATATATACCACAGTTGTTTTGTTCATTCATTCATTCATGGACACTTTGGTAGGCTCCAAATTGTGATATTGTAAGTAGACAAAACTTTTACTGGTATAGATTTTTTTTTTTCAATCTGCAATAGACTAAATAAACATCAAACTGTGGTGCCCTGTGTCATGCAATGGACAGGAATACAGTGTACTGACGGGACTCTAAGTTGCTTTTACGCTCCTGCAGAACAATTTAGTCTTGGTTCTTGAGAACCTTAGAAAGATTCTTATCCCAGTAGTTACATTGTGGAATTTTTTTTTTTTATTCTTTACGAAGCAGTCTGAAGTGTGGACCAAGTTCCACAGATAAAGAAGATCAGCACATTTTACTTACGGTAGGAAATCATCAGAAAACATCTATGTGCTCAAATATGTTGAGTAGTTAATTTTGATGTCATGCATCTTGGAATATTTTAAAGGCATTTTAGGATTTATTTAGAAAATGGAGTTAGATTTAGTTGTAACAATGCCTCATTGTTACATAAAACATTGAGACAAAAGCTTGGTCATGTTATACTAACCAGCTGGCATATTCTTACATAGGTATGTGCATGTATGCAGGAAAAGGTTTTAAACACACAATAAGCTATTAACAGGTTATATAAGGATGAGGCTGTGAGTGCACTTCTCATGCTCTAGAATTTTTAGTTTAAAAGATGAGCACAGAAATATTCACATTATGATCTTGAGCACCTCACATTTGCCTTACAGACAAGAAACCTTAGGAACAAACTGCTGAGTGGGGCAACAGCCAACAGACAAGACCTTTTGTTTCAAAGCCTTTAGCATCTCCTAGGGTTCTGGAAATAGGACATAGGTTTTATTGTGGACAGCAAATCCACAGTTAAGTAAAAACCGTAATGCATCCATGCTCACGGGTGACGTGAGTCTCCCCACTGTGTCTTCCCCAGACTTTGAACCTGGCAGTTCAAAGCTCTCCCTCAGAGGCAGCTGCAGTGCACGGGCGGGCAGAGGAGAGGCGGGCAGAGCTTGGAGGGGTGGGAAGCCCTCCTGCTCCAGGAGAAGCGGGTGCTTTGTGTCACAGAGCCCCAGCCAGCTTCACTGGAGGGTTCTGAGTTTAAAATCAAGCACAATTAGGAACGTAGATTGAAATTTCTTCAGGTTTCATACTTTATAATTTATTAACAGAACAATATTCAAATTGCACAGTAGAGCCTGCTTTATTGCCTCAGTCTGCCATCTCCTTTTTCCAGCCTCCTTTCTCTCATCTTTTCTTCTGTCTCCCTCCCTGCCTCCTTTTCTCCTTCCCTCTCACCTGTGTCCCTTGCCTGTCCCCTCCACTGCCCTTCCAGCTCACAAACCTTCCTTTCTTCCTTCTACCCACCTCCTTCTCCTCTTCTAATCCCCTCCCACCCCCCAGGTAAGAAATATCTCTTTATGTTTTAAGGCACATGATGATGGTGAGACCTGAACTTTGGGATTCGGGTACTGGCCCTACGTTATGCCTGGTATAGGAACCTGGGCTGGTGTGTCATCTCTCTGAAGCTTCATTGTTCTTTAGGGATATTGTTAGGATGAAATGAGACAGTGAGTCTCAGCTTTCTTTGAATCATGTGAGTTGGAATTGGGGTGGGTAACACTTCATTTCTTTTAGTATACAGGGTTTGAGTATAATATAAAAAAACACCTAATGTGTGCATAACCGTGACACCTGTCATTTGTGATAGAGATGGAGTTGAACACTTGTAATGGAGAGGGTGTGGAGTCCTGACGATCAAGGTACCTTGGAATAAGAGCAGGGGCAATGCTGCTTTAGTATTAGATGACCCCAACGTGTAGCAGAATCGCAGCCAAAGCAGCAGTGAACACACGGCCCTTCCCGCTCCCCAGGCTGACCTCGCTGTTGCCCTCTTCCTTGCCAATGTTAGGAAGGCCTGTTGTCCTCTCAGACACAGGCGTCCTGCCACTGGAGGTCATTCTCAGTGGTGGCCAGCTTCCTGGAGACACAGAAACCTGATCTGCAGGAAGAAAGGGGAGTGGGCTCCAGCACCTTCCATGTCTACTTTCCTCAGCAGCTGAGCATCACCCTTGGCTTGCTCCTTCCTGGTGGAGCCCAGGAAGCCCAGCAACTCCTAGCAGAGCTCTCTGGACCTGCTGAGTGAGGCGTGACTGTCACCAGCAGTTAGTAATGGCAGCCTTGACAGCAGCATCCTTAAGAGCATCTTACGGGCTAGGAAAGCTAGAGGCAATACAGACCTGGTTGGAGTGACAGGCTCAAGATGTGACTTTTACTTTCGTATGCTTATGATATAACACACGAGAGAGGAGGGAAGGGAAATGAGTTTTGTGCTGTTTGTGTAAGATTGCAGGTCTAATATGAAGACAGGTACCCAGTTCTTAGTCTTCGGTGGGGGTGAGTAGTCTTAGTGTTTTTGGGACAGAAACTCACCATTAGTGGCAGGTGGAGCCATCATCTTAAGGAACTTGGTCTTGAGGCAGCAAGGAAGTGAACGCCCTCATAAGGTTCTAAGACAGTCCCCTGGCATTCAGTTCTGAACAATCTTTATTTGCTTGCATTGATTTTATCACACCCACACCGATCTTTGCAAAGAAATGGCCCTACCCTCCTGTGGGCCGAGGAAACAGAAACCCAGGTGGTTGGGGACTCTGACTAGAAAGCACAGGGCAGGATTCAGGAGAGGTCTGTGTGACTCCCAATCTCATGCTCCCCAGTCTTGTTTTTTTTTTTTTTAATTTTTCCCCCTCAGGGAATAGATAGCCAGGTATGATACAATGCTCAGTGTCTTATTTCTGTAACACTATACATTGGAAACCATTGGTTTAAACCTGAGATCTTCCATGTGGATCTGGGCCTGCCCTTCATTTGGCCAGTGAAGACTGAACCAACAAGGTGACAAAGCAAGACCTTTGTTTAAAATCTGCATATTTTGAGCCAGCACTGTGCCATAGCAAATAAAGCTGCTGCCCATGACGCTGGCATCCCGTTTGGGCACTGCTTTGTGTCCTGGCTGCTGCAGTTCCTATCCGTCTCTCTGCTAATGGCCTGGGAATGGCAGCAGAGGATCGCTCACATGTCTGGGCTCCTGCTACCCACGTGAGAGACCTGGAAGAAGCAGCTGGCTCCTGGCTTCATTCTGGCCCATCTCTGGCCGTGGTGGCCATCTTAGGAATGTGCCAGCTGATGGAAGATCTTCCTCTCTTTCTGTCTCTCCCTCTCTCTAGGTGTTTCACAAAAATTCTGCATGTTATTTTGTTTAAGTTTAGTTTACCACCTTTGAAATAGGTATAATAACACATTTTGAGCAAAGCTCCTCAAGGAGTTGTGCTCTTTGCAGGCATTTGTTGAGCAAAAATTGTGTTCTTGGTTTCCCAGGACAAAATTACTACTCACCTGACTTAAGTCTTTCAAACTTATTTGTCTGCAAGAGAAAGAAATGTGGATCACATGAAATTCAGTCCCTAAAACTCAGTGAGTGGGGGTGGGTTTTGGGAGGGGGTAAGGGAAATCCCAGGGCCTACTGAACTGTATCATAAAATGATAATAATAATTTAAAACAATGCAGTCCCTACTGAGCCAGCTGAAAGCATCCCAAGCAGACCTTTCATTACGTTTTCAGTGCCCAATTAACAGCATGATATTTATTGTTGTTCCATAAAACTAAAGGAAATGATTTTTTTCTTGTCATTTTCTAAGAGTAACTTGTGAGCCAATGCAAGCAGTGGTGTAGAAGGGACATGGGTGAGCTGCTTCTCTTACATGAGAACATAAACGACACGGTGATTCCGCTTGACACTTGATTTTCCTTGTCAACTTCCCTTGGCACAGGCAGATTATAATTAACTTGATCTGGAAATGCTTAGTGCTTTGCTTTGAGAAAAGGTAAAGGATTTTGTATATGAAGCTGTCAGGCAGGCAGGGTCTGACCCCAGGAAGTCATGCCAATAATGGAAAGAGATCTGGGACAGAAAAGAAGCACAACACAACTCAAGCAGGGGACTGAAGGGCGGGGGAGAACGGGATGTGGAATCTGACCCTGTGGATACTGGATAGAGGTCAGGATGAATTCCAAGGTGTTCATTGCCTTGATAAGTCAGTTGTCTTGTCTATACCTCATTTATCTCATCTGTAACGTGGCAACAGAGCATGCACCTCGGAGGGAGGCTGTGAGCATTGCCACAGCTGTGGTGTGCGATGGACTAGAGCTGAGCGTGGCTGGGAGACAGACACTGCAAACCAGGGTCTGTTGGCCTACAGAGGAGCTGTGTGTCTTGGGGCAGCTGATGGCAGAAGCATTGAGCGATCACCAAGCAGTAGGCACCTCCACTGGGCTCCTCCGGGTCTTGTCCTCTTGTGTGAGCTTGTCTAAGACAGTCCACCTGCGCTGCCCTGGCCCTCAGTCTGGCGAATGAGACAGTCAGGATGTGTGAGGAGCAGCACGAAGCAAGGTGAATACCCATAGTATTCATTAATTTGGAGTTAAACTGAAACTGATCTCAGTGGATTTATGTTTTCAGACATACTGGGTATATTAGAGATGACGACAGAGTGACTGCATGGTCTCAATTAAAAACATGATTGATTTTAGACTTGTTTTATAGGCTATGTTCAGTTAATCTGCTTCAGACTTTTAGCTGTTTAAGGGAACTTGAGTTTTCCAAATTTGTACATTTACTGTATTAAATTTATGAAAACTATTATTATTAAAGTTATTAACTTTTATTGGAAAGGCATATTTACACAGGAGATACAGAAATATCTGTCTGCTGGTTCACTCCCCGAGTGGCCGCAATGGCCAGAGCCGAGTCAACCCGAAACCAGAAGCCAGGAGCTCTTCTGGGTCTCCCAAGTGGGTACAGGGTCCCAAGGCTTTGGACCATCTCGACTGTTTTTCCAGACCATAAGCAGGGAGCTGAATGGGAAGTGGGAACCCTGGGAAACAAACCGGCATCCATTTGGGATCCTGGTGCATGCAAGGTGAGGAGTTGAGCTACTAGGCTACTGTGCCGGGCCCACAGTTATGAAAATTATTTAAGATAACTTGGTTCACTAAGATTTAGACCTGCCAACATCAGAAGTAATTAAATATCAAATGAGCTCACTTTATAAAAGGTATATGAAATTGATCTAACCTTATAAATTTATCTGCCTAAATTGTTTTAAACTATTAACTTGAATTAGTTAACATTTTTTGAAGAACAAACAGAGGATTGCCACTTTTTTTAGATAGAAACTCTAGATTTGTAAACAGAGCAATATGAGGAATTTTTAAAAGTTCCTGAAAGTGTATTTTTTGGAAGACCTATATAGACATTTCAATTTCTTTGGGTAGAAAAAAAATCCATTAAAAAAATGAAACAAGCTTTTATTCCATTACCCATGACCTTCTTGAAGTTCTTGCCTGTGTGTTACTCATTGAAATTTGAGGTTTTAGAAAAGCTAGGCTTTGGGATCTATAATTTAGTCAGCTGGATTTAAAGCAAGAACTCAAGCAATTTGAAGAAGTGTTTCCTGCGCAGAGCAAGGTGCAAAACTGTGGCCTCAGAACGCCAGAGGCCACGTCACCTTTTGAAGAGCAACTCTGAAATGGAATGCTGGGCCCAGCACGGTGGCCTAGCGGCCAAAGTCCTTAGGATCCCATATGGGCGCTGGTTCTAGTCCTGGCAGCTCCACTTCCCATCCAGCTCCCTGCTTGTGGCCTGGGAAAGCAGTCGAGGATGGCCCAAAGGCTTGGGACCCTGCACCTGCTTGGGAGACCTGGAGGAAGTTCCTGGCTCCTGGTTTCAGATAAACGCAGCACCGGCTGTAGCAGTCATTTGGGGAGTGAACTATTGGAGGGAAGGTTTTCCTCTCTGTCTCTCCTCCTCTCTGTATATCTGACTTTCCAATAAAAAAAATAACATAAAATATGAAATGAAATGCTTGTCCGTTGTCTGCCAGAGATGGTTAATAACGAGGCCAGCGAGCTACAAATGAATCACGACCTTACTTTTTTTTCCTGGACACAATAGAGACTTAGTACAAATTCAAGGATACAACTGTTCACTGTCACTACAGGCCTGCTTGAATAGTCCTAAGTTTTTGGCTTAGTTGCAAACAAATCGGATTTGAGCCCCCAACTTGTGTGTATGACTTTGTCACTCTTGCTTAGAGCTTAGTCTTCCCGCCTATAAACGCACACACACGGCGGCGACGAGGCTTGTCGAAGGTCCTAATGGCGGAATATGTGTGAAGGCTAAATTGGAATAAAATTGCACTTTATAACTCCAGGCTCCTTCCATGGTCATGTTCAACCCTGGACCCTTGGGATGCCTCTGGGCTTTTGCACATGCTGTCCTAGTGCTTACGCACTGTTCCCTTTGATAACTGATTCGGGCCTCAAGGGAGCACTTGTCTCAATGCTGCAGTCTTCAAAGCATCAAACCGCAGGTTCCTGGTGCTGCCCTGCGCTCCTTTCCCCGCTTCCGCCTCGCCTCGCCTCGGGGAGGCCACCCAGAGAGATGGCTTGTTTGGTTTCATTGTTGCCCACTCCTCCACCTCTGACCTCCTCCTGCCCCCACACCTCCCCCTGCCACCCTGCCACCCTGCCACCCTGCCAGGTCTCCCCACCTGCAGCAATTGCCAGTCTCTCACCTGGGCTCTCGATGGATGTCAGGAAAGCTGTGTGGTTGAGAGCAAGGTCTGAGATTCTCTGGCTCAGGGGGCAGGGGCTGGTACTTCTTGGGAAGAATGGCGGGGGGCCTGTGTGAAGAACATGGCAGAGACTGAGAAGCCAGTGTGCTGAAGCCTGGCATCACACTGCCCCCCTAGCCTGGTACTACACCGCCCACCCGAGCTGTGACCTGCTCTGGCCTGGCCACTTCAGTTGGGGAACACTTGTAACATCACAGAGCAACTCAGTCCATTTCAGAATTCCAAATGTTGGGATCATTCCTGTTCAAAAATGCAGATGAACGCCTTGCCCCTGCTCCCTGGTCGGGGCAGGTTTCGGAAGGGTTCCATACAACTGTACAGAAGCCTTATACTTTCCTATTCGCACCTGTTCTGGTTTGAGGACCCTGGGGAAAACAACAGTGAACATCCACTTATCCCATACTAGGAGACTGGAATTAAAAAAGAAAATATCTCCTAAGGAATATGAAAATGTTTGGAATACAGTGAGTGCCTCACTGATTTCCAAAGTACATCAGGCACTGTGGTAGATGCTGGTGTTGGCTTAACCTGCCTCCCTTCTGGTGGAGGGGAGAGCAGTGAGGCAGTGCTTGTCAGAGCATGGATGCTCACGGCATCACCTCTCAGTGTCGGCAGCCACATCTGTTGCTCTGGCCTACACATGTATATATGATTATCATAGCAGTTGCCTTCTATGATTGTAAGCATAAACACATGCGTTTACATGCACACACATGCAGTGTCTGACAAATTACAAGTCTCCACATGCGTATAGACATTGCTTGATTATTGTATATATATGTATTTCTATGCTATATCCTGGTCTTTTATGATCCCAGCCATGCCAAGTATGTTCCCATTTACAATTAGGCAGAGTTCTGTGCTAACGAAAGGGAGAGGATCAGAAAGAGGAGAAAAGAATTCATTAGGAAATAGTGAGTGAGGGGCTATTGAACTGTGAATGAGTGAATGGCTAAACAGCTGAAGGAAGGTTGGCTTAATCTGATCCATGATCCAAATCAAGTCTTTGTGTTTCTCTTTTGCGAGTGCTGGCGCTAGTCACGTGCATAAACAGAATGATGAGAACGGTTAACAGTCTTACCGGGGAGGCAGCAAGGGAGTCTGCAAAGGAGAGAGACCAGAAGTTACACTTGTTGTCCTTTGCGCAGAGGCAATGCTTGACAATCTCACAGTTTACAAACAGAAGCCACAAATCATGACCAAACTTCCAGGACGTGTTTTCCAAGTGATATCTAAGTCCCGTGTTGTCACATTTGCACTTCTGGGGTAAAGGTAACAGGTGTGTGATGATGGGGCTCCTACCTTATTCACCTTCATGGGTCTGTCTCCTGAAACACAAGCAATTGCATGAAAGTTAATCCCCTTTTTGGCAATGTCAATGATGAACCCAACAGTCATGAGATTTTGCTAGGTACCCAATGTCAGGCTAAACATCTCTATCTGCTCCTAATTGCTGTGTTAACAGGGAAATTAAAGGTGCAGAAGTCACCCATCTCTCCTGCCGTCCCATACTTGGCAAGTGGCAGAATGATATTTCATGGTGTGTGGTAGTTGTACAAATGCATTTCATCTCTTTAACTCAAGTTCCTGCCTGCTGTTCTCATGATTATATATATATAGTTATATATGATTATATATATATGACAATAGCATGAAAGAAAGAATGATCAAGACCTGTGTTTGAGGCTCCCTTTTTTGAATGAATGACAAAAATAAGTACAAACCAGGTCGGGGCATTTCTTGCAGTTTTTCCTTCCTGAGGTTTGTGTGTGGAAGCTTGGTCCAGCACAAGGGCATGTGGTGGGAAGGAGGTGGTGGCAACCTCAAGGGGCAGGGCACAAAGCGAGGTCACGGGCTCCAGGGCACAGCCCTCAGGGGACGAGGTGGGGACCAGGTGGGGGTGAGGTGGAATGTGGTGGGGATGTGATGGTGGCAACCTCAGGAGGCACAGCCTCCTGACATAAAGCGAGGTCACTCCAGGGCACAGCCCTCAGAAGGGACCACCCTAGTTGTAGCAGGACTGAGTAGGTTCTGATGAAAGTGCGTTCATTTTGTTTTATTTTTGACAGAGTGTGCTCCCTTCTGCAGGTAGTTCTCTTCCATCTCCCCCCGGGATGGTGGTGCAGACAGGGGTTACTTGTCAGGATGCCAACATGCTGCTTGGCCCTGCCACCTCTGTAGTTTGTGAAGTACCATGTTTAGTATTCTGTTACAGCATCCCTAAAAATGCCTGAGAAAAATGCTAACCCCAGAGAAGGACGTGGTATGACCTGGAACATTTCCCCCTGATTTCCCCCTAATTAACTTCAATCCTAAGATGATGATGGGCAGCTGCCCTGAGATAAGCATGGAACTAGGCAATGGGAAACACAGATACAGTGGGAGCCTTCCTCCAGATGCTCACAGCTGGCTCTGTTAGAGGTCAAGTTCTGGCTCTGGGACGTAACCCTGAAGATGCCAGGTACCGATTTGGTGGCCGGCTAGGACTTGTGCGTACATGCATGATGGATGTACATGTAAAACATGAGGAGCTTGTAAGAATTTCACGTAAAGAAGGGCGTGGGCTTGAAGGGACATATGAGAGTCAGAAATTAGTCTAGGCTGTCAGAAAAAGAAATTTCTTCCTGGAAGAAATGGTTCCCTCTGAGTTTCTTTTACAGTCTCTTACTGAACACAAACCTGATGATTTTAAAGGCTCTTCCAGGTCAAAAACTGTTATTTCATTGAATGCAGTCACCATTCATTCTATCTTTCCAGTTTAACAAAACAGCTTTTTAAATGGATAGGATAGCTTTGCATGAATTCCAGAGACTTTCATCTATTTTCTGTAAACAGAAATAATAGATGCTCATGGCTTCATAGAAACACAACATATGGCCCTGGATGTATTGCAACAACAGCGGCAACCCAGCTAATGGTAGAGCTTTGACTGTTGCAAAGCTATTAGAAAAAGGCTTAGGCCACATGATGCTTGCATCAAATGAGAAAACATAAGATAAATTTCTCTGCATTTCATCGTGTATCGGCTCTCGCTTCAGAGGTCCCTGGTGGACTGTCTAGTTGTTCACACTGATAACTTTTCCTGTAAATTGAGATACAGTCTTTCCAAGAGGCCGTTTTTCATAACTACCATGATGTCTATTGGGGAAAAATTCAATTCGTTGGAAAAAAAGCTCAATAAAGAGATTGAGTTTCTGTAATTCAATAGGAGCATCACATTTGCTGTTTTAAGAGATACCCGTCCAGTCCGCTTTGGTGGCTGTGAGTTTAGAAAACGACATCCATCTTGCTGTTATTGACTGTTGGAGCACACAGCATGAGCCAGGTGCTAGTAATACCTGAACATAGCGCAGCTGTTCCCATGTTACTAACACTCCAGGAGCAGGAGACAGAAAGGAAGCAGTAAGCGAGCAGTCACAGCTGGCGGCAGGTGCCACAACGGCAGCAAAGCAGCACAGGGTAGCAGGGAGAGGAAGGGTGGGGCTATGACTTCTGGGACAGGTGGAAGAGGGGTGTCTGGCTTGAGGAATGTGGGTGTGTGTGTCATGTGGTATCTGAGGGCACGTCATCTGCATTTCTGTGACGTGCCATGTGGATACATGGCACAAGCCCCGTGGGCACCCGGGGACCATGTCCTGTGTCTCTCTATGGGGAAGGGTTCCTGACAGAGAGTGCACAGGTGGGGGTGGGTAAGCCAGTATGGAGGTAAGGCCCGAGGTCTCGGTGAGGCTGAGGGGTGCTCTCGTCCCCTGGGGTCTTCTAAGCTGTGATAAAATTGACTTTTTATTTCACTGATTTCATGAGGTATGGCTGGCACTTAAAGATCTGGTACATCTCAGGAAATCTGGGATATGTGTACACCTCTGAAACCATCAGTGCCCTCAAGATGAAACATACCCACCCCCCAGTTCCCTCCTGACTCTATTATTATCATTATTGAGTGTCAGATCAACTCTGAGCAAGTTTTAAGTGTCCCCTGCAGAGTTTCCACAGGCTGGAGACTGGACTCAATCTGGGTTTTGCTCATGAGTGGAAGGAAGCCAATCACCTGAGCCCTCCCATCCCCTCTGCCCCCCAAATCTCAGCAGGAAGCTGGAGCAGTGGCTGGGGGCTGGGCACGGTGTCTTAAGCACTGAGGCAAGCACAGTTTCCATTGTGGATTTCTGATGCCCGTGGCTGTAGAAGGCCACACTTCTTTCTCAGTTCTCCACTCTGCTCCATTGTCTGTGCATTGGCTTTTATGCCAGTGTCACACTGCCCTGGTCACTCCAGTCCTGTAACACTACTCGATGCAGAAAATGAGATCTCTTTAGCATTGTGCCTCTTTCTCCTCATGATTTCTGGGACCACCCAGAGGTGCTTTGTCATCGAGGCGATTGTTTTCATATGCATTTCATGTGTCATGTGTCTGTGGCATCTTCTAGTGTATGTGTGGGTGGTATGTCAATGGCAGCATTGCATCTCTGACCGGGTGGGCATTTAGCACAGTAGTGCACACAGGACCTGGGACGCTTGCTCCTGGACCGGAGCCCCTGGGATGCCTGCTCCTGGACCGGAGTCCCTGGGATGCCTACTCCTGGACCGGAGCCCCTGGGATGCCTGCTCCTGGACTGGAGCCCCTGGGATGCCTGCTCCTGGACCGGAGCCCCTGGGATGCCTGCTCCTGGACCGGAGTCCCTGGGACTGAGTGCCTGCTCCTAGACTGGGGCCCCTGGGATGCCTGCTCCTGGACCAGAGCCCCTGGGATGCCTGCTCCTGGACCGGAGCCCCTGGGACTGAGTGCCTGCTCCTGGACCGGAGCCCCTGGGACTGAGTGCTGGCTGTGCTTCTGATCCTCCCCCCCGCCCCCATAACGCGCACCTTGGCATGCAGCACGTGACGGGTTCAATAGCTTGTGGGAAATCTGGACTGGCTCTTGGCTTGGGCCTGACCCAGCCCTGGCATTTGGGGAGTGAGCCCAAGGAGGGAAGATTTGCCTCTCTTTCAAATAAAATGCTCCCTGGTGGTGTCAGCCACGTCGGGTGTGTCCCGTGGCAACTACTGGTGCTGGTAACATGTACTTACTCCCTGTCTAGATAACCAGGGTCTTCGAGAGTACAAACATGGAGGGAACCTCGAGGATTTCAGAAGGAGAAAAACCCAGTCAAGCAAGCAGTGAGCCTGTCCACTGGCACATGGGTTTGATGAAGTTTGCACAATCTTGGTCATTTTTGGACCTTGTTCAGTAAGCACTAACAACTCAGGTGTTTGCAAAACTGATGAGGTTAGATTTGGAGCTGGAATTCTTGAGACTGACTGTTAAATTAGGAGACTTGGTGTTCTAACCAAGTACCTGTACCATTGCTGTTAAAGGTCCTTCTCAGAGTTCGCCGTTTCACTCTGAGAAGGCCGGCTGTGCGCCACCTGGTGGCCAGAGTGTAGTTAGCACTGTCTAGAGCCGATCTTGAGTTCTAACGCAGGGTGGACTTCATATCCACTACCCAAGTTACTGCCTTCAGCAGTATGTAGTGAGGTCTACAGCCCCGAATGAATCTGTATGCTGGCTGCAAAAATAAACCCACGAGTAAACAGTGCATTATTCAACTGCGTACATCAGCTATGGCAAAACAAAACTGGCACTACTCAAACACACACTCCCTGACTATTTTGCGTTTTCTTTGCTGTCTGCGTCATTCCCCTCTGCTGTACTTGTGGTGGGCATACTATGAGGTGGCATCTCTTCCCCACTGCACACTGGCGGGCTTGAAGCCTGGCATGGTGGGCATGTTTACACTATGGAAACTGGCAAATGCTACAGATGAGTGCTTGGCATCTTTCATTACTTGTCCAGGCTTAAGAAGGGGATCAGAAAGACACTAACACAACAGCTTACACTTCAAAGGGTGCTGTGTCTATAGGCATTATTTTGTGCAAAGTACGAAACTGGGGAAATAAGCTGCATAGTGTCCAGTCCAGGAACTGTGGCTGCCGCGTCCTTTGCAGCCACAGCTGGACTGCAGATACCAAGAGTTTGGCGAAAGTCAGAAGTTTTCGGTGAGAAGCCATTGGCTCTATGGGCTTATAATAAAGAGTAATGAGTCATTTTTTTTGTGATTTTAAATTATGTGCTGCATAGCCTCGTGTCAGTAAATCTCATAGAGGTGTTGCCTACACATGCACACGTGGCCCATCTGCCTGGGGTTGAATTTCGTGCTGTCGCTAAAGGACCCAGGGCTGTCAAACAAATAACTCAGGCTCTCTGAGCTTCTGAGTTGTCATCTGTGATGTAAGAGGGTTGCAGGGGCCGGCGTGGTGGTGAAGCGTGTTAAGCTGTGGCGTGCAACGCCTG